CTGAGCTACATCCTCGGCCCTAGACTTTTTTTTAAATATTTTTTTTTTTTTTGGTACCAGGAATTGAACTCAGGATCTTGTGCTTGCCAGGCAGGTGTGGTGCCACTGAGTATTCTGAATAATTCCTTTTGACAAGGCCCCATAAGCCACTTTTATTTCCTAGTGCCCTCCTTTCATGAGCTCACACTAGATTGAGAGATGGGCACAACTTTACCCACTAGCTCTCAGGTCTCTTTTCTCTTAAGTTTACCAAATGACTTGTTTTTTGATTTTTTAAAAATTGACTTAGTTTTTGGTGTTGGGGACCAACCACTGAGCTAAATCCCTGGCCCTCAAATTCTATTTTTAAAAAATCAAAATTTGTGTTTGTCATTGAAAAAACATTTATTAAAACGTAAATATTTGCTGCATGGAATATATACTGGTTATAAAAAAGTTCAACTTAGCTCTCCAAAATATTCTGAAGCTCTTTTATAAACTTGATTTAGGAACTATTTCTCAATATCTGTGATTCGTTATTTTAATACTAAATGCAGTATTTTAAACAGTAAGAGTGCTTGACAATGGAGGATAAATTGCCTGAAATCTAAGTCACTATAAATCATTCAGTACATATATTTAAAAAATATTTTTACATGGCCTCTTTAGCATTAAAACAGTAAAATTAACAGCATACTTTTGATACAAGTGGTTATTAAATCTCTTGGGATAAAACTTTTCTTTTTAAAAAATAATCTTTCAGGTAATGTGCAAGCAGTCTTATGCAGAAATGGGAAAGGATTTTGTCTCACCAAAGAACATACTACAGAAAACACCAGTGAAAGAGGAAGAGTACTTCAGAATGGAGCAGTAATTACTTCAAATGAACCATATGGGCTCCTAGAAGGGCACATAAAAACGACAAGAGGACTTGGATTTCATGGGAATCTCAAACTAAAAAAATTTATTATTCCAGCACCTGAAACTATTTCTATCCCTATAGATGACTTGTGTCAATTCCTTATCTTAGCTACTAATGGACTTTGGGAAGTTCTGGATAAAGAGGAAGTCATAGCACTGACAATAACACTTTCAGATATGTAAGAAAACATGTGCTTCTATCATACAAAACAAATCACTGCGCAACAAGCCTCTGTATCTTTCAATCAGTGATAAAAGCATTTCTGCATCAGACAGTAATAACCACATATTGTTTCAATATAATCCTGAATCTAAAGAATATGTGTCAACTACAAATTTAAAGAAAAATGTATCTGATTCAAAATATTCTGAACATTGTGTTTACAACTCTAAAAATGTAGAAACATTTCTACCACAGATGACTCATTATGAACCTTGCAGTGAAAATGAAACTGATAGACCAACCAGTGCAGATGATGGACAAATAAGCAAAGAGGAATCATACCCTAAGAATTTCTTTGAAGGTGCAGCTGAGTATGTTAGCCGTGGACTTGTAAATGCTGCTCTGGAGGCTGGTTCCAGAGACATTACAGTTATGGTAATATTTCTCAATGGAAGTGAATATCACTTGCTGATATAAAAAATTAAGTTCCAGTTATTCACAGCACCAAAATATATTACCAAAGACAGTTTTTCAATGAAGCAAATATGATACATTAATGTGCTCGCTTCGGCAGCACATATACTAAAAATATGATACATTAATACCACGGGAAATAATTTTTTTGGGAGGGGTACGGGGGATCGAACTCGGATCCTTGTGCTTGGGAGGCTGGCAGTGGAACCACTGAGCTAAATCCCTGGCCCCCATGAGAAATAATTTTTGACATCGCAGTAAAGAAAATATAAAAGCAGGGCCTGGGATTTAGCTTAGTGGTGCCACTGCCTGCCTCCCAAGCACAAGGTCCTGAGTTTAATCCCTAGTACCAAAA